GACGAGTATACTCGTCATGACAAAATCCTGCAACTTCTCCATGACGAGTATACCCGTCAAACACAGTTAACTGGTTAATGGTTCCCCCAATTTCTTAAAGTATACTTACGTCACTTGTGTAATAAACGGTTCACTTAAGAATTTTCGTTTCCATCAACTAAACCAAATTTGTAAACATTCTAACTTGAGCGCTTCTGGACAATGTACGATACGTTATGTGAGAAGTACAGGCATTGGATCGTGTGCAGGGATAGAAGTATTAGCTTTCACCGGGGATTCTGGAGTAAATACTTGATCGTATATGCATAAAGAGCGAAGCATTTACTATAGACGGTATTCATTGGATTTTCCAGTAAATACTTGACATTAGAATTATCAAACGAGTTAGATCGATCGATTTTATTATGTTTCCTTTGCAATTATTTAAATCGTGAAGAAGCTTTTGCAACAGACTGTAAAATCAATTTGCGTACTTGTGCAGATAGAAGGTTAAGAGACTTTTCAAATCTTGAGAAATGAATTGTTCTGATTTTTATTAAAAATTAGAAATAAATGGCTCTAATTGCTAGGTGGTTCCAGGGTTAAAATTAGTATGCATAGTGGTTAGTATTTGCTAAACCGATAAGTAAATATTATTGCCATTTCAAATATGTCACCAGCTTTCCTTAAGATTTTCAAATGTTTAGTATTTAGTGATAGTAAAAAATGATACATAAAAAATCTGCCATTTGCACGACAAATGCAAACTTTTATATAATAGACTGGCAAGAAAGTTCTGTCGTTTATTGGTTTCTCCACGGATGACTTTTGCAGTAATCCAGAGGTAATATTATTGAATTTGAATTTTTTGAAAAATTCTCTTGAAAAGCGATGTAATTATGTTTAACTAATGATTATTAATTACAGTTTCTTCTTGCATTCTCCTATAACGTTGAATTTTTCTTAAAAAAGCGATGAAACTTTCTTGCTAACCTAATACTTTCCTTAATTTCATTAAAAAGTTTATGTTTTTAGCATTACCGTTAGGTATTAAGGACAAAAACAATGTAACTATGTTTAACAAATGATTATTCGTTACAGTTTCTTCTTGCATTCTCCTATAACGTTGAATTTTTCCTAAAAAAGCGATGAAACTTCCTTGCTAACCTAATACTTTCCTTAATTTCATTAAAAAGTTTATGTTTTTAGCATTACTGTCAGGTATCAATGACAAATACGAAGTGGCACGAAACATTCACTTGAAAGACAATGTAATTATGTACAACAAATAATTATTCGTCGCATTTTCTTCCCGGATTCTCCTATAACATTAAATTCTCCCTAAGAGAACGAGACTTTCTTGCCAACCTAACGTTCTCGTATTGTGTGCATTCAGCAAATGCATAAAAATCCACAGTCCACTCGAAGCGTTCACATTTTTCTGCATGCAATATTCTCCGTACTTTCCAGGATCGACTGATCGCCAGGCCAGAGCCTGTCCCGTCGTTTTTCCGTTGCAAGCGTTGCAGGACAGCTCGGCGGTTCTCTTAGACACCGTGGGCATCGTTAATGCAACATCAACGAGGAACCTCTCCTCCGGGCTAATGCAATTTCTAGCGTCTGTCGGGATTTTCAGCGCTGTCAATTATCGAACCGAGGCGACATCGGCTACAGCGGAGGCGAGAGAGCGAGCGCGCGGACCCGGTTCCACGGTCGTTCAACTTGCTGCGATGGAAGGCGGCGCACAGCGGTGCCTTTTCACGAAAACCTGGCCGAAAATCAATTTTCGAAGTATGTGCCAGCATTTTTTTCATGCAGTAGATTTATCCCATACGCTTCACTGTATCCAATATTGTTTACAATTTTTAAATATATTCACTGGGTACTGGGATATAGACGAACTTGACGAAATTTCGGGCCTTTTAGCACTAAACCTACCAGACAGGCCAAAATGACTTATTCCTGATTTCTTCTTTTGCAATTATTCAAAAAATGACATTTCAAATAAACAATAAGGAATTATTAATTAGAAAATTAAAAAAAAATTTTTAAATAAATTTTATAATTATAAAAAATAACTAATAAATTATAAATTTATAATTGATAGATATAAATAATTGTTGATATTATTATTTTAATAATAACTATTTTTGTATAATTATAAAAATAACAATTTCTATTTGGGAAAATATATCTTATCTATTTTTATTTAGAGCAATTATTAGAGGAATTGATTTAGCAATGCGCAAACTGAATTGTAAATTAATTAAAATTCTCGACAGATGCACCCTTTCAGTTGCTATAGAGGAATTTCATAAAATCAATTCAACTGCTTGGTAGATTTAGTGTTAACACTATTTTTACCGAAAGTGTCGAAAGACACTCTTTGAAACTTTAACTTAAAATTACTTTCTCAGTTTAATCAGTTTTCCTTAATTGAATTTTGGACATTTCCTGGAATTGATTTTATAATGGTTATTGGAAAAGTCTGAAAGTCAATTTAGAATATACGACTAAGCTCGGAAAATAATTTTAAGTGAGAATTTCAAAAGGTGTCTGTCGATACCTTAGTAGAAATAGCGTTAATGTCTCGAAAATGAGAGACTCTTCAATGTGTCAGGAAAAATTTCTCTTAAAACATTTCTTGTCTAAAATAGTTGACTGTTAAAATAGATGGTACGAGTATGTATTAGCTATAAACGTAAAATGGAATATCCTTGAACTTAAGGATAGAACACTCTTGTAATTCCTTTCTCAGTGTAGCATAAATCTTGGTCATGCTTTGATAAATCAGAAGTAAAACGAAGCTGAGTGTCACCGAGTGTCACGCTGGGACAAGTTTCCTGATATCAGGTAACGTGTCTAGTATGATATCCCGTTGAGAAAATTTGCACATGTAGCGTTTTCAGGTATTTAAATTTAAATTGCTAATAAGGGCTATATACTGTCTGTCCCATTAAATCATATTAACGATACGTCTGGCATTAGTAATGTTAACATATTTGCAAAAATTGAATATAAAATAAGGAAATTTATCTGAATCATTGATACAGCCTTGCTTAACAGTATTTTCGACATTGTAACTTGATAAAACTTCGGTTTAGAGCGGTCAGTTCAATAATTCTTTTGAAAGTAAAATATTTGCAAAACGTTTTGCAATTAACAGCATTCTATTAAATGGTAGTAACTAATATTAAATAAGAATAATATAAATTCGATATTTTAATTTCAATTTTGTCAGAAATTGAAAAGCAATTAATTTTGATAAAAATTTGCTTAAAAGTTATGCTTATATCAGTGACATTATATCCACCGTTTGTAAATTTTATATTTTTGATAGATTTATCAAATTCAAAAATATAAGTATACCAATTTTTATGAGGATCCCATGAAATTATGAATTTTTGCTAGCTTGTCGTCAGAAAGCACCACTGTGCGACGCTATCGGCTACGTCGCGAAATTTCGATGTCGCGTCGAACGCGATTGCCCTCGAAATTCGGAAATTCGTCGACGACTCCGTGACGGCGAACGGTAATACGCCCCCGAGTTGTCTTCGGCCAACGGAACCGTGCCGTTGAATACGGAGACCAAAGTAACGGTGTTACAGTTCGTCGATCCGAGACCAAAGTCGAAAAATTAATTTTTCTTTGTCGGTAATACGATTCGTAGAAGTTTATATAAATGAATCTATAGTGAATTAACGTTGTATAATATAACACATAACGCTATATATCGTAATATTTATTGATAATAAATAGATCTACAGATTTAACGGTATTGGATGAGTATACTCGTCGTCGGTGTCATCATTGGTTTCATTTATATGTAGTAATGAAGAATTGTGAAGCGGAAGTCTACCATTACACAGTTCAAAGAAGATTTAGTCAGCAAAGTATACTTGCAGTATACAAAGTTTCAATTTCATAAGAAAATTCAGAATTTTGAAATGAAATTCCATCTTTAAAGGGTTGAAAGAAGATTTAGTCAACAAGGTATACTTTGGAGAATAATTATCAAACCTTTAACGATTTTTCACGAGTATACTCGATATTGTTAAGTTTCAATTTTATAAGAAACTTCAAAATTTTGATATGAAATTCCATCTTTAAAGGGTTAAAGGATTAAAGGAAGATTTACGGAATGACATATACTTCGGAGAATAATTATTAATCCTTTAATAATGTTCGACGAGTATACTCAATATTGTTAAGTTTCAATTTTACTAGTAAATTCAGGATTTTAAAATGAATTCCACCGTTAAAGGGTTGAGCACGTGTACCATTTTCAATAAATATCGGTTTGTGTAAGAAAATACTTTTTAATAAACATGTGAAAATATTTTGTGAGAAAATGGAAAAGAAATCATATGAACACATATGAAAGTCACCAAAAAGTTAAATACAACAGTACTTTACTTAAAAAGCCAATGCAGTTTATAAACAATATATAACAAACTATTAAGAAGGTGTTTCCAGTACAAACAGCGCCAAAAAAAGAAAAGACGATTAATTGTCGTGAATGTTTGTTTTTAATTACAGTTCAAGTAACGTTTTCAATTTTTGTTGTAGCTTATTCAGTTACTTTATAGTGGCCCAATAATTTTTTATAGAATGTTAATTAAATTTTCCTCCATATCAGAATGAAGGCAAGCCTTAAAGATTGATATAAATGATTGAAGCACTGAATGTGGACAAAACGAAACAATAAAGAAATATTTATTTAATTAATATACCCGTCGTTTTCATTCGAAGTAAAATAATATTTATATATCGACTTCATCATTGATTTTTCACTAAGAAATTATTAAAACAGGGAAAGATTCTAGAAATTGTAGTTTAAACATTCGCCGTTTTGTTAATCTTTAATATGAATTATTTATTAAACACAAAGGTTTCAATCTGTTTGACACAATTGTATGTGTATAGAACACTGGATAAGAGAATGTAGAGAAATGGGAAGAGGGACGGACGTTGAGTAGGTCGTGAGGGGGAGAATGGATGAGAGGGTAGAGAGGGTTGGCCGAGGAAAATTGATAGGAAGAGAAAAGAGGAAGAAAAGGGTGAAAACGGACCAATAGGTTAAGTTAAGTTGGGTTAAGTTAGGTTAGAAGGTAAGTGGCAGAGAAAATAAGTGCAGCGCACAGCGACGTGGTAGAATAAAAATAAAGAGAGTGTACTGTTCTTACCGTCGTTTTATTATTATTATTATTAATGTCGTCGTCGTCGTCAATGTTATTATTGTTATTATTGCCGCCGTCGTCGTCGTTGTTGTTATATTATTATTATTATTATTATTACACATAACATTTAAATAAAATAATTTGTATAACTTAGAATTATGTAAACCTACTCCATTGGTTTTCTTAGCATGAGGTCAATAAATTAAAAATATATTTTCCATTAATGTATACGTACTTGTAGTATTTTATTTTATTATTTTATTTTTTAAATTTTATATTATTTTATTTTAAAGGATGAGACCACTCTGATGGATCAGAGAATTGAATTCTTTTTCATGTTTTAAAGAAACGAAGTATGTAGAATATTTCGAGAAAGGGATTTTTCAAAATTCAAATGTTTGAGGAAATTATAGCAATGTGCAATATCGACGAACGACGATTAAAGAATACTGTAGAAAAACCGTATAAAAATCGAAAAGAGTTAAAACTTTTCAAAATTTTCAATTTGGATTTGTAAATCGTTAGTTTCAACTTTTACTAGTTTGAAATATCAATTCAAATAAAATCAAATACACTTACATTCTCATCATAATCAACGAAACTTTCAATGTATGTTTTCAAAACTTATTCAAATTCAACATTTTGAAAAATTTGAACGTTTCGAAAAATTTTATTTTGCAATTTTATAGACGTAAAAGAACAGTGTATCATCTGTTGAATCGTTTCTTCACTATCTCTTACTGTTCTCAAGATAATCCACGGGAAAGAAATTTTTTAATTTTTTCAAGAGGCGGTTGCATCCCTACAAAAATTCGGCACGAAAAGAATTGCAATGTATTAGGCTTTACTCCCTGTATTTAAAGTTCCGTAATTTTTCAAATTTCCGGGTTCGATAACTTCCCTTGTTAGTCGGATCATGTTACACCATTCAACCGCGGTCGGTGTCGAGGATTATGGTGTGTCAAAAGGAACCTGTTGGGGATGTGGTTAGGACGGCGACGTTGCAATTAGCAAGGGGATTCTGATATTGCAATTATCCAAGGTTTACTGCACACATTCGTATAACTGCACCATTCAAAATCGATATATGTCGCGCTAGAAGGTGATCTCTCCAAATTTGTAATAGGAGATTCGGTTCGAGCGCCTGGTGCGACACGGGACTGTTTTCTTTAAGAAGTGCTTAAAGCACGTGGCCCGATGGTGGACCATAAATTAAGTGTTCCATCGCTGGCTGCACTCAGTCACAGCCGAACCATCGCGTAGAATAGATCTTGTATTTTATACCACATCTCAATAAACGTACTCTTTATTTTCCTATAGCAATTTTACTGTTTCTGCCCACTACACCTCTGATACAAACCTCAAAATTACTACAATATAAATATTTACCAAATGATGCTTATCAAATTCAATAACCGTCAAATCGACGTGTTCGGTAAACTTAGTGTAA